TATAAATACAATACAAACATTACAAGATCAAACGAATACAACATTAAATTTTAAATATTTTAATCAATTTGAATATGAATTATCACATTTTAAAACAAGTAATATTGTACAATTATCAAATTTATATTATGAAACTATTATATTACAAAATAATATAAATTTATTTAAATTACCAATTATAACATTAATTAATAATTTAATTTATATGAATAATACTTTATCACAATTACCATCAGAATTTGAATTAAAATTAAAATTAAATGAATTACAATTATCTTTTAATCAAATTTCAAATTTAAATTTAACATTTAATAATTTAAATTTATTTAATCAAGATGTTAATCAAACATTACCAAACAAGTATAAATTATTAAAAGATGATTTGAGAAGTTTAACATTTGCCATTAATTCAATTCCATCTTTACAATTTATTCAAGATATTTATTCACAAGTTTTATTTTTTAATTCAATTTTACAACAAACTAATTGTATTGATAATTTAATTAAAGATATTAAATATATTAATGATACTTTTGTTGAATTACCAAATGTTAATTTATTTGATTATTATTCTTCATCTAAATCTCTTTTAAATACTTTTGTAAATGGTGATATTACAAAATATTATAATTCTATTAATAGTATTTCAAATATTAATCAACAAGTTATTTCATCCATTTCTATTTTATTTAATAATACATTAGATTTATCAAATATAAATTTAAATAATTTAAAACAAGTATTACCTATTATAGAATTTAAAAATCAATATTCTTTAATTAATTTAACTAATATGAATATAACTTATTTAAATTATTATAATAATATTAATAATTATATGAATTTATTAAATGCAAGTAATACATTTCAAGAATTAAATACAACATTGAATGATTTTGATGATTTAAAATTAGAAAATTATAAATATTTAGTAAATGCAGCATATAATCAAGGTAAAACAACATGTTATAATGATGTATCATCACAATGTAATGTTTTAAATACTAAATCATTAGAATTATATCCAAAAGTAGTAAATTTAAGAATTGCATTAAATAATTTAACATCATTACAATATATTAAAACTGAATTGAATAATTATAAAGAATTAATTTCAAAAACTATATTAAAAAATCAAATAACACCATTAAAAACTATTAATAATAATTTTAATTTTAATCAAGCCTTGACATTATTAACTTTATATGGTAATGGTATTAAACAAGTAGGATTAAATTTACCATTACAACAAGTAAGTGATGGTATTAAAAATGGTAATTCATCATTTTCAACTTTACCATTTAATGAATTTACAAGACAAATAGAATCATGTCAACCAATATTACAAGTAGCATCTAATATGGATATATCAGCAATTATAACTCAATTTGATATTGTAACATTTAGTTCATATTTAAATTTAGGAAGTATATTTACAAATATTATAACTACATTGGGTAATGTTAAAGTACAAACCTATATATGGTGGAAAGATGAAGTAAATTATCAATTAAATAATATATATATGATTGATATATTAAAATGGGATGGATATAGATTATTAGGAGTAATTATATTTATAAGTTTTATAGTATTATTACCATTAATAGCAATATTACCATCATGTTGTTATAAATGTCCATCTTTATTATATATTGAAATTATATGTTTAATGTTATTAGGATTATTAGGATGTATTGTTTTATGTTTCATGTTACCTATTAATATTTTATTAAGTGATACATGTAATAATTTAGAAAATTATATAATTGAAAGTGTTGATTCATATGGTATTAATGCTACTTTAAAATTTGAAGCTTCTTTTTATAAATATAATATTTCATTTAATACTGATTTACATGGTTTATCACAAACTTATTTACTTGATTGTAAAAATGATCAAATTTCAGATTTATTATCTTCTATTAAATTTATTGTTGATGATTCTCCTAATTTAGTTTCTAGTTTAATTTCTTCATTAGGTACAAATGTTAAAATTAGACCTGCTCTTGTTAAATCTATACAAGATACTATTTATTCTTTAATGAATAATTTATATACTAGTTTAATGCAAGTTGCATCTCTAGTCACTTGTAAAACTTTAAATACTAAATATGGTAATATTAAGAATTTAGTATGTCAAGATGGTTCTTATTTCATTTCAACATTTTGGTTTTTATTTGCATTACTTACATTTTTAATTTTAATTAATATTGCAGTGTATATTACCATTTATGTTGTATTTAGATATTTCTGGTATGATACTAAAATTGTTGTAAAATCAAATATATTATCAAGTGCAGATAGAAGTGTTATATTAGGAAATGAACATAGAATTCATCATCATCATGTAGTTGGTCCAACACATCATTCACATCACTCCCATACATCACATCAAAATAAGAATATTGTTAGAAGAGTACAAAATGTCGTCATTGAAAAGGAATTGAGAGATTCAACAGGTGGTATTATTTTAGAAGATATTTAAATTGTAAATAAACCTTAAATATTTAATTATTTTAATAAAATTATTTTTAAATTATTGTCTTTCCATGCATTCTTTATAGGCTAATAATTCATTTGAACATTGTTGTAAACCTCTAACACCAACTAATCTATCTCCTTTTTGAACTTTAATGGATCTACTTGAAAAACATGTAAAAAATGTTTCAGCTACTTGTTTACACTAAAATATTATTTAATATCGAATATTATCCAAGTATTATTATCAAGTAATTCATTAATTATTCAATATTTAATTATCATCCATTTAATTCATCATCCATATATTTAATCATCCATATTTAATTCATCATATATTTAATCATCCATTAAATAATTATAAATATTCCAAATTCTATATTATTAATCATTCATACCTCTTTAACATAGGTTGGAAAATAACTTGGTACTGTTAAACTTTCAATCTCTTTTCTAATTTCCAATTCCGATAACATTGAATCTGGTTTTGTACCGAGTGTTTGTTGTTGTGTTGATGATGAGGTAGACATTTTTTTTTTTGATTGAATTTGATTCACCACCCATTCATTGAAAAGGCAGAAAGAAAATCAAAAGTTAATTTCCCCTCCATCATCATTCAAATAAAAACAATTTAAATATTTTAAATTATAATTTATTTACTTTTCAAAAGGTGATAATTTAAGTTTTGGTGAAATATTCATTGCTTGTAATTCTTGAATTAATAATTTAAAAGCATATGGCATTGGTAAAAGTGAAATATTTTGTTTTGATTTACAAAAATTACAATAACCCATATATCCAATCATTCCACAATCTTCACAAACATGTACCTTATATTCATCTGAAGATAACATTAATCTTTCTAATAATAATGCACTTGCACCATATCCAATTAAACAATCACGTTCCATTTCACCTAATCTTAAACCACCTTCTTTTGAACGACCTTCAAGTGGTTGTCTTGTTAAAATTCTAACAGGTCCCTTAGATCTAGCATGCATTTTATCTAAAACCATATGTTTTAAACGTTGATAAAAAACAGGTCCAAAATAAATATAACATGACATGGTTTCACCTGTTATACCACTCGTTAATAAATCTTTACCACTATATGAAAATCCATGTCTAATTAATCCCTTTCCAATATCTTCTACTTTATCTCCTCCAAATGCTGTACCATATCCTTGTTTACCATTTAATACTCCTGATTTACCACATATTAATTCAATCATTTTACCAACTGTCATACGTGATGGAAAACCATGAGGATTCATAATCATATCTGGACATATACCTTGTTCATTAAATGGCATATCTTGTTGATCTACAATTAATCCACATACTCCTTTTTGACCGTGACGTGATGAAAATTTATCACCCAATTCAGGTCTTCTTGTTTGTCTTAATAAATATTTTAATGCATATCCACCTCTATCATAATTTGGTGTAATTAATACTTGATCTACATAGACACTACATGGTCCTTTGTAAAATATTGGTGATGGTTTGTAGGTATTAGCAGCAGCTAGCACTAGAAGCACCAGCACCTCCATTTGATGATGATGGAGTAGGTGTATTCATACCAAGTAAATTATCTTGAGTATTTTGTGCAACAAATCTATTAATGTACATATCATTTGGATAAATTCTCTCACCTACAGCACACATACCATCAAAATCTAAACGTTGATATGATTTTAATCTCTTTTGATCCATATCTTTTGCTTGTTGTGCATTTGGTGGTGGTTGTAAAACATCTTCAACACCATTATGATATCTCTTCAATTCAGTGACGTATTTCTTTAAATAAATACAACGTCCATATCCACGATCAATACTAGCCTTATTAACAACAACAGCATCTTCAATATCATAACCAGAATAACTCATAACTGCAATGGATGCATTTTGACCACCTGATAATTTTTCAAATTGAATTAATTCTATAGTTTTAGTTTTAACCATTGGTTTTTGTGGATAAACCATTAATAATAATAAAGTATCTAAACGATTAAATTGATTATAAGCAATAGCACCCATTGCTTGTTTACCCATAGCACATTGATAAGTATTACGTGGTGATTGATTATGATGTGGATAAGGAACTAAACCTGCACATACACCTAATATAGTAAATGGTTCAATTTCAAAATGAGTAGTTTCTAATTTGATATCTTCCTCTCTGAAAACAATATTTGAATTATTTTCTTCATTAACATCTAAATATTCAATCAAACCTTCTTTTAAAAAATCATCCCATGTTCTAATACCTTCAGCTAATTCACTTAAATGTTTTTGTGTTACTTTTAACTTTTGATTTTCAACAATTATTAATGGTCTACAAACACGTCCACCATCACTTGCAATATAAATAGCCTTATGTAAATCATTTTTAAAAATTGATACAAATTCATGTATTTTACCTGCTCTTCTCATCATTCTAAATAATTTTGTAAATTGTGATGGAAATCTATGTATACCTAAAATTAAACCATTCAAAAATACAACATATGAAGATGGATGATTCAATTCTTCACCTGAAATTAAATTAATATCTTCAACACCAATATTATAAGCTAATCTAATAATTGGTTCTTCTTCATCATCTGTTGTAACGTGTGTGAGAAGTGCAAGATTTTTAACTAGACCACATCCTTCACCTTCAGGTGTATCAGATGGACATAATAATCCCCATTGTGAAGGTTGTAATGCACGTGGACCTGATACTTTTCTTGTCTTTTCAAATTGTGATGAAATTCTAGTCATCATACCCAATGCAGCAATAAATGATAATCTACTTAAAACATGTGTTACACCTGCACGTTCCATTTTAAATCTTTGTACATTCCAATTACCAGAGGAGATTGAATTTTTTAAACCTTCTGTAATTTTAGAACTATTTGCATTAAAAATAGATGAAATATCTTCAGTGGGTGTTGAAGTGGCTCTTCTACTTCTTCTACCTGTTTTCTTTTCTAATGTTTTTTTAATTTCATCATTAAATTTTTTAAATAAATCTTCAAATAATAAAGAAAGTAATTGACCTGCCATTTCTAATCTCTTATTACCATAATAATCTTTATCATCTATATTTGCAGAATCATGTAAAGCATCAATCATTCTTTTTACCATGATTGCTAAATAAACAATTTTCATCTTGTAATTAAATTTATAAACAGGAATATGACATAATATAATATTTGATAAAATTTCTCTAGTTTCTTCCATTTTAGGTTTGTTTTTTCTAAAATCAGCTAATTTTAAATATCTAGACATGTATTCAATAGCTTGTTCAGATGTATAAACACCTTCACGAATACATTCTTCAAAAGAAGGACCTAATGCATCAATATATTTTCTATCACTTCCAATTAATTGAACAATTTCTTGATCTGATTCAATACCCATAGCTTTAAATAACATTATAATTGGTATATCTTTTGTAAAACTATTATGATCTAAATAAAATCTTTCATGTTTGATTATAATATTAGTTTTAGATTTTCTATAATGTGTTGAACCTGTTACTGATGCTGTTATTTGTTTTTCTTTATCTAAATCTATAATTACTCTATTTTTAGATAACTGTTCTTGAATTAAACAAACTTTTTCAACTCCCTTTACAATAAAATAACCACCTGGATCTAATGGACATTCTCCTAATTTTGCTAATTCTTTATCATCTTTACCACATAATACACATCTATCACATTGTAACATGATTGGCATTCTACCTATACTTAAATCTTCATGTTTTATCAATGTTTCATTTCCAACTATTTGTGGATATTCAACACTAACAATTATATCTGCTGAATATGTTAAATCTCTCAATCTACATAATTGTGGTGTTAATTCTATTGTATCAGTTCCTTCATCTAATCTAGGCTTGGCAATATAAATATCATTATATTTAATATAAAATTTATCATCCGTATCAGGTGTAATCATACTATTAGCTTGTACTATCTTTTTAATATCAACATTAATAAAATAATTAAATGAATCTATATGTTGTCTAAATAATCCTTTAACTTTCATAAAGGCTGGTAATAAACGCCATTTTTCTTCAACTGTTTTAATAGGCTCCGTTATTTTATTAGGATTACCATATAATAAATCATGAAGATTATCCACACCTCCTCCTTCATCATCATCACCTACTCCTCCTCCGAGAGAATTTTTTAAATTATTATTATTAGAGGAGGAAGAAGAATTATTGGTTGTATTATTCTTGTTCTTGTTAGAGGGATTCAAGAACATTTTTTTTTTAATTTCAAATTTTTTTTAGAATTTTAAAATTGCACTTCTTTGAAGGCTTGGTTGTTTGTTATTTGAGAATGAGAGAACTGCAAAATATTCTTGGTGAAAGATTAGACTTGTCATAACATGAAGAGAATAAAGTAGCTGATGAGTGTAAATTGTAAATTGAATAAACTATTTATTATGTACATTGTTTTTAGTTGCATTGAATTATTGAATTATTGTAATTTACATTTTGTAAAATACTTGATTTGGACAAGCAGATTTAAATTTCATTTCATCATAAATATTATGTTGTTGTTGTTCTTGAAATGATGTACCTGTAGTATTAGTATTAGTATGAGTATTATTACCTGCTACTGATGTCATCATCATCATATTATTATTATTGTTATTAGAAGAAATCATAGATGATGATCTATTACTCATATTATTAATAATTGGTTGGTGATGATGATGATTTAACATTTTGTTTTGTTTTTGAATCTTTTCACATGAAGCAGCAAATGTATGATTCTTCTTCTTTGTATTTAATCTACCTGAATAGTCGTGGAATTTCAAAAAACCAGAAGTACCATAATAGAATGCAGATGGATCAATATTTGTATTAAAGAATGATTTAGTACTCATATTAGTTGTACTTGTTATGGTACTAGTAGTAGGTGAAATGGATTTAGTTGTTGACTTTTTCTTTTTACTTCCTCCTCCAACTTGTTTAATAGTAGTACTTGTATTTATATTATTATTTGAAAATACTTGTTGTTGTTGTTGCATAGTATTATTACATTGTGGAGTATTATTAATAATAATAGGTGTTATTGTTTGATGATTAATAATAGAAGGTGATGTTTTACCATGATTATTTGGTGATAAATTATTGACTGGTGACACATTTTGTTGTTGATTAGGATGACAAATAATAGTATTATTATTATTATTATTATTTGTATTTGTATTATTATTTAATAATACTGATAGAATAGATGTTGTTGTAGCAGCAACATTACATTGATTAATAACATTATTATTATTATGTTGTTGTTGTTCCATTACAACATGATTATTATTAGCTAATAATTGATCAGCTTCTGGAAATACATCATCAATGATATCACATAATTGTTGTTGTAACCAAATAGGATTACCCATTGAAGAGGTAGGTGTATTAGTACTTGATTGATTATTAGAAAGCATTGGATTTTGATCAAAATCAGGTGAAAGTAAACCACCTGATGATGAAAGAAAATTATTCATCAATAAATTATTTGCACTTGTAGGTGTTAATGCAGTTGAAGTTGAAGTAGTTGAAGTATTAATAATAGGTGTTATTGTTGTTGGTGAAGTTGGTGTTTGTAATAAGAACAAGTGATGATTCACCAAATCAGATGCTGACGATGAAATAGTAGTAGCATTAGCATTATTATTGGTATGAATCATGTTATTATTCAAATGATTCATTAAATTATTATTATTAATACTTGTAGGAGTTGAAGTAGATTGAATAAGTGATTGAAAATCATTTTCCATCAAGAATAAATGTGGTGAAGATAACAATAAACCAGTTGGTGTCAGTGTTGAATTGGAATTACTGGTGGATGGTTTTTTACCAATCACCAATGTTGGTGGTTCAATAAAACTGAACATGTCATTACTACCACTTGTAGTAGCAGCAGTAGTATTATTATTCATCATGTTGTGTTGTGGAGAGTTTGTTTTGAATGGATAACAATCTTAGAAATGATGCTGATTGAGTATCAACAACAATTTTAGTTTAGGTTGGTTTTTTTCTTTTGAATATTAAATTTTATTATCCAATCATGCTGTGTTGGCAGAGTATCATCAACCGAATATTAAAAGCGCTCTTTTTCGAAACGTTTGAATTTTGATAAGCAGTTGCCAAAATAAAAACATCGCATTTTTTAATATCAAATGTCGGGTCATTAAAATAACAGAAAGGACCAATTATCAAGTGCTCCAAATTTTAAGGTACACACTTACTTCCACCATGGTTGACATTTGGATGAGTGTCGTTGTTTCTATTAACTACTATCGAATAATAGTTTCTATATTCTTTTACTCCTTTAATAAGAAACCTTATTTAATGGTGTTGATTATTGGCTTATAAAAAAACAATCTCAATAATTTGTTGAATTGTATTATCTCTATAAATTACAAATGTAAAGAATGATGAAGAATTCATGATAGAGAGAATAAATGATTTTCATTTAATCCATGTATTGTTAGTATTGTATTTATCTGTTCAATGGATTTTATTTGGAAATGGCAAAAAGATTCGATTTGGGCGTATTGTTGACATTTGTATAAATATGAAACCTCTTGAATGGTTCAGATAGATTGTGAGAGACAAGTTGATGAAGACAAAATTCATCATTTGCGAATGTGTTGTGTAGAATACGATTCGTGCATTGTCATGATGATGATGGTGATTCAACAAGATGAAAATCATATTGACTTTTATTGTGGAAAGTTGTTCAAATTTAAATGTCATTTCAGGTTCGTATTCTTCTTAAATGTTAATGTGTGAAATTAAATAACTTTTCACTCTCTCTACTACAGTATTATTGTTGTTGTATTCAACCTGATGGTCATCCCTTCAATTAATGTAACGATTCGTATTTTACTGTAGATACATTTATTGTAAAATGTGACTGTTGTTGTTCTGCTGCACTTGAGTTGAAGAAATAATGTAATCATGATAATGTTCTGAATAAGTATTGAAATTACTTGTTGGTTAAACAATCGATTGATGACAATTAAATATTCACACACTACTTACTATGTATGTTAACTAGTTGATATTTCACAATATTCTTTCATAATTGGTAGGAGATGACATTAAATTGTTGTTGACTGAGTGAGGTCATGCAATGCGTACTACTTGTTAATTAACAAGAATTGAACATTGGAGTGTTTATTCACCACTAACCGACAAACAAGAAATAATATTCTCAACACTTGAAAGATATTGCAATAAAAAATGTGTGTGTTGATGAAATAATTTAAAATACACACCACCAAAGAATTTAACGTTTAGAGGAAAATTATTAATTTGTACTCGAATCATTCTATAAATATTTAATAGAAAAATAATATTTTAATAATTGAAAGTCATGGATGAATTATGTTTAATAAATTGGAATTATATTGTTGTTGATTTTAGAACATGTTCTCATCACTACTTGTTATTTAATAATAACTTAAAGGATCAATCTACTTGTTATTTAATAATAATTTAAAACAATAATTTTATTGAATATTCAACAATTTAAATATTGTTTTAAATTATTATTAAATTGATTGTTTTAATTAATATTCAAAATGGTTGAAGATGGAAATATATTCACAATGATATAAAATGATATAATAATACACCACCACCACCATTATTAGTAAAATAAAGAATAATTCACAAATTCAAAGATACTCTACCATCTTCAAATCTCCATCAAATATTTCACAATAATTCCCAAGATTTAGACGAGTAAATTGGATGTTTAAAATGTTTAATTGCTCTTCAATCGAATGATGACTCAAATATACTGTTATGTAATTTTCTTACAAAAAGCTCCGTATTTGATTATTCTTCAAATGAATTTTCAAATATGAAGGGATAAAATCAGAAAATCCATTTCGATAAAATTAACTCTGTTAACGACTGCTGGAAACAACATTTGAAATTTTCTAATAGTTGTTGAAGTAGTCTTTGCTTTTTCTCATTCATGTTGTTGGTGCTCTTGATAGTGTACAGAAAGTGCCAGAGCATAATGTTGACATGATGTTGCATTAGGATGGAAGAGATTTGGAAAGAAGAGAATTTTCAAAAAAAATTGATATCTCTTCATCTTGAAAAATTTTCGTTGCAAGAGAAATTCACTGTATAGAAGGATTGCTTATGAAATTAAAACAAACTAAACAGTATATGAAGAATTGATACTTCTTGATTGAAAAATAGCAAGAACAGAAAGAAAAGAAGAGGAAAGAATAATGAAAAGTTTACAAAAACAAGATTATATTTTGAAAATAAAACCATATTCTTATTTTAGCTTTTAAATTTAACATTTTTGTTGTTTTTCATCTAAAATAAAGGTGTACACTTTCAAAACACTCATGCACGTTCCAACAATACTTCACCAAATACTTACATTAACTGCTATCTGATTGGTTCTATTCAACGTAACAATTCATAACGAAACATTGTAAGCATTATTCATAGGAAGGAATCATCAATAAACAAGCGGATTTTAGTTTAGAATGATGGGAAATATGATCAGGGGATAATACATACGATAACATTAACCCATATATGTGGTAAAATTTGATTGTTAGTGTATGTACTCCGTATATACGCCGTTGAGTACGATTTACATGCTCCCTTTTAACAATCCGAGACTTATCTAAGTTCCTATCTAACACTCCAAGAGCTGTTCTATTCATATACTGTATATTTTTGAACGATTATTTACAAATCGATATTTTTACAGTTATAATGATTTGGCTATGTTCTTCTACACTTAAAGTTTTCTTCAGCAATTCTGGACCGCTCTTTTAAGTATATGTGATTATATGTTATAGTTAAAAAATGCTTACGGTATGTTCCGGATATACATTCTGCAAACCATTTAACGATTATAAAATTGCATTTGACAGTATTACAATTTATTTTACCTGGTGACTTGTTGATCATTCGTTTGGAAAACCATTGGTAAATTTGGTTGAGCACTAGATTCTTCAGAAACAGTTGGTTCAGCAATAAGATTTGTATCCTGGAATATTTTCAACAACAGTTGATGTTTGAGGAATTTTTAATGCTTGGAATGATTGTGCAATGAAAACCTCCAACTTCACTCTATTGGAAAATCTGTTGTGTCCTCATAATAACTGTTTTGAGGTTTGGATTTTTGTAATGATAAAATGAAAAATTGAGTTCTCATAATTTGTAATGAGATTTTTAAGAATGATATAGTAATTGAGAGTAATTATATGCCAGAAATATCCAATATATATTAGTGATGCGTTACATTCTTTTGAATCAATCCTTGCAAATAAAATCTTAATAAGCTTAATTGGATTTTAAAAAGACTCTTAAGTTTCTTACCCCAAAATATCCATCATACAGACTCTGTTTTGATTTTTTCGAGAGATTCCATCCTTAATAATAATCCTTACCAACCTGGTACTCTGCTATTAGCATTCTCCAACACTATGTTTACTACAAACAACAAGGAAACAACCATCACAATTTCTCTTCAAATATTCCTGATTTAATTTGTCAAGCTATTTAGTGAGTCATGATTTTCCAATTCTCAAAGGAAAGGTTCAAGAATCATGTTTAACACAACCGTGTCGTCAACATATGACTTTCATTACAAAAATTGACAGCATATGCTGCCAGAGCTTTTAAACCTTTTTCATAAAAACATCAAACTATTTACCAAAGAGAGTAAATTGAATCCCCATAACCTTACTCTGCTAATAATCATTTATCATCATGTATAAATAAAATCCCAAGTCATCAATATATTTGAATTTTATTGTTATTACTTAATTGTTTGTAATCCAATTTATGAATTTAGTTTGTCTTTTGAGGTTGAATCATTTAAAGGTGTTAAACAGTTCCTGAGCTTAATACCTTGAATACAACTGTATTTTGATAAAGTGGTTCTAGATCAACTGTTGTTCCATTTCTATGGGTAATATATTATGAACAGTTCATTCAAAATGTTGCTCATCATTGTAACAAACTTCCAATATGTTATCCAATTGTTGACATTTGACGTCACCAAACACATTAAAAAAAATAAAAAAAATGAATACACAACCAATGACAGATGCCTATGGTAATTTAATCATTGATCCTAATATGGCTACTACACAATCACAACATTTACAACATTTTAGTCCACCACCACCATCAACACATATTGTTGGTACTAATGGTAATAATATTCATCCAACAACAACAACAATGGGATCACCTTCATTAATGACTCCAAGTGGTGGTATGATATCACCTCCACCACCACCACCACAATCACTATCACCATCAACATCATCTTCACTTTTACAACAACAACAACAATATGGTTGTATTGGATATGATACACCTAAATTACCAATTATGAATCCAAACTTTCAAATGGACATTAAAAATCATCCATTTTATAATACCATATTTAATAATTCAACATCAATGTCATCTTCAAATTATTATTTAGAAGGATTATCTAAACCAGCTATATCACCCTATTTAAATTTTAATAATTCATCAAATGGTTATTTATGTTTGATGGGTACAGAAAATCAAAATACTTTATCTAAAAATGCTTTAATTTTATCTAGAATTGAAAATAATTCATTTAATTCAAATAATAATTAAATATAAATTCAAATAATATAAATTCAAATATAAATAAATTTAAATTTAAATATATTAAAAATGCAACCAATTGAAGAACATTTACGTTATTTAGAATGGTTACCTAAAGATCCTAGAAGAATAATAATAGCAGCTAATGGAGAATTAGGTATTGTTATATTAAATGAAGAATTGAATGATATTAATGTAATTGATATATTTCCTAAATTTCATCATGATACAATTAGACAATTTGCTATAAATCCAGTTAATCAATCATTAGTAATATCAGGTGGATTTGATGAAAAAGTATTTGTCACTGATATTAGTAAATTAGTAGATGATATACAAACTAATCAAGTTAAATCTGAAAATTCAGTTTATTTATGTCAAGATGTTGTTTCATGTGTTAGATTTCATCCTTCAGATTCAAATGTTGCATCTGCTACTACTGATCAAGGTGTTTTACATGTTTTTGATGTTAGAACAGGTAATACAAGTAAACCTGCTTTTGTTTATGATACAAGTAAATATGATTTATTTACTCATGTTTATTTAGATGATTTTACTGTTTGTTTAGGTATGTTTTTTTTTATTTAATTTTTAATTATTTAATATTTAATTTTATTATTAATATTTATTTAATTTATTTTAATTTTTATTTTTATAATATAATATTAATTTAATATTATATTATAAAAAAAAAAGGATATGGAGATGGATCTATTCAAGTACATGATATTAGAACAGGTAAAACATTAATATCATTTATAGATAAAGCAGTGAATATGATTGGTGATTTTATTTATGAACCACAAAAGAAATTATTAATTTCATTGGGAATGAACAAATTTTCAGTTTATCAAGTTAATTCAAATAATTTTGAATTAATTCATTCTGCCTATAATCATCAACAACAACCATGTGTTACAAATGGAAATTATTTAACTGAAATTAATCAATTTATTACAACTGATACATTTGGTCATATTAATTTATATGATTTATAATTATTATTATTTTAATTTTAATATATATTTTTATTCTTTTCGTGATATATTCAAATTATATATTTTTAATTAATAATATATGTGTGTGATAATAAATTAACTCTTTCTAAATTATATGTTTTAACAAGTTAAATCCTCCCTCAATTGAATGGGTTGTTGTAAAATGATAATCATTATCAGATAAAAAAGAAAACAACTTGGGGAGAGAAAGTTCAATGATAGAGATCGAAATCATTTATTTCAAAGATTCACAACAATACTTTTTATTTGTAAATCGAAACTCTTAAGAAACCTCGTTAACAATTCAAAAATTCCCAACTAAGTATTTTCCAACAAAAAAGATTTTTTTATTACAAATTGAAAGAACCCAATATTACAGTTAAAGTGGATGCATCTCGATCTAGGAATTGCTTCCAAGTGAAGGTGAAGACAAATTGGAATTGGTTTATATGAAGGACGGGAATCGATATCCAACTATTTGTAATAAACTTTAGACCAATAACAAAAGCAACTTTCTGGTATAAAATTACAAACGCCCCACGTGGGGCTCGAACCCACGACCGTTGGATTAAAAGTCCAACGCTCTACCGACTGAGCTAGCGGGGCTGCTCGAATAAAATATTGAAACTGTTATCCTATTTCCACCACTTCATTACGTTTATCCAATAATGAACTTTAGAAATTGACAGAAAGAAAATTGTTATTACAATGTATTACAATTTATTGCTTCATCTTGGGATCATTATTTAATTGATCAATTTCATCACCGTCAGTGAATAATTTGACATGCATGATTTTTGGTCTTGCATGTAATTATTTAACTGTGATGAACCTCGTCTGATAATTGATCGTGTTATTCACGATTTTTATCTTGCTTCTTAGAGTTTTGAACATTAATGAATGATAAGTCCCAATAATCAACTTATTTGTAATATTCATAATATTTTGAAATACTATTATTCAAAATATATTGAATTTAGTAATTCCTCAATATCAAGTTTCAAAGGAAATACGCTACTCTCACTTTTTTGATGAGTTGATGTATTATTAGTTATTTGACTATTATTATTATTCATAGTAATGTTACTACTAGCAGTATTAGTTGTTGTTGTTGTATTTAATCCAAAGTTATTCATATATGAATAATTATGATTTGGTTGATCACTTTTTAATTGATTAGATAAATTTAATTGATTATTTCCTAAATTCATAATACTATATAATAGATATGGATTTTGTAAATACATTGATACACCATTAGTAGTGTTGGTATTACTATTATTGAGAGAGTTATTAACTACTTCACTAACTTGATGACTAGTTTGGTTTGATCTTGAACCACCTACATTACCAGTAGTAATATTATTATTGATATGATAGGCTTGATAATTATAAATTTGATCTTGATTACTACTACCACTACTATTACTACTACTACTATTAGAATGATTATTAATTAAATTTGTTTGTTTTTTAGTTTTGGAAGAGTGGTTTGTATTATTATTATTGGAATTATTTGGGCCATTATAGAAAATGAAATTATTTGTGCTCACTTCAGACATTGCAGGTGTAAATTCTTTACAATTTGGTATTCCGTTTGGTTTTTCTTTTTTATGACGACCCATTATAATTGTTATAAGTGGGGTAGTTTGAAAGGTGTGAGTTTGAAATGGTTATTGGTACCAATGGCTACTTGTTGTATTTTTTAAAACTTTGATGATCCAATCAAATAATGATGACTTGCATTGTAAATTATAATAACAAGGCTCAAGTACTTGAAAAGTATCTAATATTCATCAATTAATTTAACAAGTCGTTCATACAATATTAAATTCAATCATCAATTATTTGATATTACTCCAATAAAAAGTTGATGTTTGAGCATGTTCCTAACAAACTATCTATCTTATTAGTAATTATTCAATAATACTCGGATCCGAAATTATTCTTAACTGTAGCCTGACTAGTTTTAAAGTTAGGCCTCTTTATACACTCTTACTTGTTGTTTTAATAATCAAAGATGTTGCTCCGAATATTTGTCGTAAACCATTTTCTCACAATTGTACATTCAGTAAACAACAACTAGTTTTTCACCACGAGAGTCGCCAGTTGGTAAATGTTTATGTGGCAAGGCTTTTTGCTTGTTTCTTTCATCGGTGTTTGGTTGTGGCGAGAAAAAAATTCGTTGTAACAAGTAAAAATATTACTCAACCACTAAAATTTTAAAACTTTGTTGAAAAAAAAATCGTCAAAAGATGTCCTCCGTCAAATTGTTCGGCAAGTGGTCATACCAAAACATTGAAGTCAAGGATCTCTCCTTGAAGGATTACATTGCTTCTTCTCCTGAACACGCTCAATATTTGCCACACTCTGCTGGTAGATACAACGTCAAGAGATTCAGAAAGCAACACTGCCCAATCGTTGAAAGACTCGTCAACTCAATGATGATGCACGGTAGAAACAACGGTAAGAAGTTGTTGGCTGTCAGAATTATCAAGCACGCTTTCGAATTGATCCACATCATGACCAAGGAAAACCCACTCCAAATTTTGGTTGATGCTGTCCAAAACGGTGGTCCAAGAGAAGACTCCACCAGAATTGGTACTGCTGGTGTTGTCAGAAGACAAGCTGTCGACGTTTCCCCATTGAGAAGAGTTAACGTTGCTATCTACTTGATTACTCAAGGTTCTCGTGAAGCTTCTTTCAGAACCATCAAGTCTTTGGCTGAATGTTTGGCTGATGAAATCATCAACTGTGCTAAGATGTCACCAAACTCTTATGCTATTAAGAAGAAGGATGAAGTTGAAAGAGTCTCCAAGGCTAACAGATAAATTGTTTACCCAGAAAATAAATCACTTAAAAAAATTATTATTAATTGTAAATTTGTAATATCTTAATATTTCTCCATAATTAAATTACTCTTGAAGATGGATGATTTTCATTCAGCTTGTAGAGAATTCCTCTGGATAGAATTACCTTTGAAATTATAAATTCATCAATGCAAGGAAACTAATAATAAAATTAAAATTGTGTTTTAAAAAAATGAAGAATCTTGCCATGCCTGACAATGGAGGATGTATTGACTCCTTCTCCAGTCAATACCATCACGAATCACGTTGTTTGAATTTAATGAATAGAGATCCATGTCTTGTGTGGTTCTCACATAATTTAGCACCATGTATGTGTTTTTAGAATTTTGGAATTTAATTATCGGAATTACTAGTACCTCAACATTTTATTATTAAATTAGAAAAATTGTCACAAGTAAAAAGAGTTGGAATTTATATTCACGGAGAAAACAATCAGAATCCTAAACATATTCAAATTCATGTTTCAACAGATGGAACTAAATTTACAAAATTAGTTGATGCTGAAATTGAACAACGTTCTGGAGATTTTTTATATGATTTGAATGGATTAGATCATGTTATTGAAAGAGTAAACATTTTTGATAAGGAAAATACACAATCTGTAAATGCTCAATTTGTAAAGTTTGAATTTGTAAGTTTAGTTTTTTTTAAATTAATAATCTTTATACATTAATAGACTGAAAATTATGGAGGAAGTGGTGTCTATGTTGCCAAAGCCTATGTATTTGGAGAGGGTCTTTAAATCAAGTAAAATTTAATATAAATAAAATTTTAATTTTTTAATCTTCATCAATTTCTTCTTGAATATCATCATCACCTGTTCTAGTTGAATGATTATCTTCAGGTGGCATAACTTCATTATAATCAACACCAACAGATTTACAAATACTCTTAATCATTTCATCATCCAAAAAGTAATTCAATGTAATTTCTTTTTGTTTCATTTCTAATATTAATTTGTAAGCTTCTGAAGTATCTTGTAATGTTTGTAAATAATATTCAATTAAAATAGCAAAAACATCTCCAACTCTTAAAGCATCATCAACTTCAATAACAGGATCATCATTTGGATCTAAATTATTAACACCATTAATTAATTCTCTACATATTGATACAAATTGTGTTTCATTATTCTTTGAATTCATTAAGGATTTACCTAAAATGAATTTTTCAATATATAAAATCTTTTGATTCAATTGTTTCAATCTTAATTCATTACTTTCACTTGTTTTTAATTTAATTTCCTTAGATAAATATTTAGAAGATTCACGTAATGCATCCAATGCTTTTTCATAATCTCTATATTCATCAATTTCAACTTGTGAACATAATTCAAAGAAAACTGATAAATGTTTCCATGCTTTAGCTTTTGTATAGAATGAAATAATTGATTTGATAATTTCAGGTTCATTATGCCAATCTAAACTTTGTAAATAGTTAGCAGCTTGAATATATAATTGTTTTTGTCTTGATAAAACTGCAAATAACATAATCTTTTCAGTATCACCTGATTTGATAAGTATTTTCATAGCTTTAGATTTATCACCTGCTTGAACATATTTCTTTGTTGCAACTGAATAATTATTTTGCATTGATGCAACTTTGGCAATTTTTCTTAATAGAACAATCTTTTCCTCAGTTAAATTTTCATCTGTTGAAGGTGGAGACATTTGATCTGCCATTTCTTCTGTTAATTTAACATTTCTAGTAACACATAATTCAAGTGCCAATTCATATTCTTTAGCTCTTATATACATTTGAACAGCTCTTTCATATTGTTGATGTTCAATAAAGAATTGACCACATTTCATAAATACTTCTGGATCATCATCTACCTTACTTTCAGATTTATCATTAAATATATTATCTGCAATTGTTGATAATGTTTCAAATAATTGATATTTAAAACATAAATCAATTGCTCTTGATAAATTACCACCTTTTTGATATAATAAAACTGATTTGTCTGTTTGACCTGATGATTCAAAATATTGTGCAACTTCAATCATTAATTTTTCATTAGCAGATTGTAAAGCTAAATTCAATGCTTCATTATCATTTCCTAATACTTTTGAAACTCTAACTGCTTCATTAAAACATCCAGCAAATTTGTAATATTTGATTGCATGTTCTAATAGTTTCTTATTATCCTTCTCATTTTCAAGTTGTTTAGCAAAATAATAAGCTGCTGATTTTTCTTGTGATTTCTTTACAATATCTGCTGCCATCTTTAAATTACCAATAAAACAATACATTCTAACTTGAGAAAGGAAATCATTGGCTTGAACATAAAATTTCAATGCTTCTTCATAATCTGTATTACCTTCACAATATTGTGCCCACCATTTGTTTAAATCTTTATCATCAGGTCTTGATAAAATATAATTTTGTAAACTTTGTAAATCTCCTGCACTATAATACATTCTAGGTACTTCATATTTGTGAGTATTTGATAATTCATATTGTCTTTCTGCTCCTTTCAAATCTCCAATTTCTTGTTCTAAAAATCTTGCATATTTGTAATAGGTTGTTTTCAAATGAATACGATCTTTGGTTTTGGCAATTTCTAATGCCTTTTCCCAATTACCAATTGATTGATACATTTCATTCAATAAATCAAATCTTTCACATTCATTATATAATTTTTCAGCTTCATCAACCATTCCTAATTGAATTGCAAGTGTTGCAATCCAAGAAAGAGGTTCATTGGGTTCACTTTCTTTAATTTTTCTTAAAGCTCTAGCTGCAAGTGCATTCTTCATATTACCAAGACAAATTTCAGAAATTTCCATCTTTCTAGTCTTGACACACATCTTGGCCATGTTATACCAAATTGATGATTTTGATTCAATTTGTTTAACTGATTTGTATGCTTCTTCCATTGAACCAATATTTAAATAAAAACTAAAATTTAAAAGAGCCTTCTTTGTTTTTGAAGATAATTGTTCTTCTTCAATTCCTTCAAAATCTTTCATTGGTCTCTTTTCAAAAATATCATCACTATTAAAATTATTCTTTACAAAGAATAAATTTGGAACACATTGTCCAACAAGTGATTGTGAAGTCTTATCAATTTTGAAATAATCTTGGAATAAGGTTCCATGTTCTTGTGTTGCAAACATTGTACAAACATAGGATTCACTTTCTGAATTCTTCAATTCAACTGATAAAAGATTTGGTTCAGTTAAATCCCAATAAACAGATGTTGGTGTTCCTCCTTTGAATTTTGTTTCAAAATCAAACTTTTGTAACTTGTCATGTTCAAAATCATAAACGTATAATTTTGTACTTGGTGTAAGTAAATCCATTTCACCTTCATTCTTCAATTTACCAAGTAAAGCTAACATTGTACCATTACAATTACATTTTACACTTGAAATATAAGTCTTTTCAGATGAATCTGATTCATTATTATCAAAAACTCTCTTTGAAACTGAAACTGGTTTTGCTTCTCTTCCCAAAACATGCCACATTCTAACATGATTAGTATTTGTTGCAATTGTAATAAAATCACTTTGGACATCAATACAAATTGGAACTCCTTCTTCTTCACTTAATTGTAAAGTTTGTTTCTTAATACCTTTGAAACTGTATACTTCAATTCTTGGATTAGAATTAACTGATCCATTAGTTGGAACAAAGATACTTTCAGAGTGTAAACCAACACAAATTGATGGAATTTCAAATGCTTCTGCTTTTCTAATTAATTCTGTACCTCTAGTTTCAAATAATTCTAAAACGCTATTATTTGAAACAATGATATGAGTATCTGTATGATCAAAATCTCTAATATTAATACCTGTTTTGATTGTTCTTGGTGGAATTTTATCTTCTCCTGGTGCAAAGTTTGGTTTTCCAATTACTACTGTGTTTAAAGAATTTTGAATGGCAATGGTATTATTCTTCATTCTCTTCTTGAAACTTGTTTCTTGTAAAATTTCAATATCATTATTCTCTCCACTACCATAACATAAAACCTTTTCACCACATCCCCAACTAACCATATTAACAGAAGCTCTACTTGGTAAAGAATATTCTCCATACTTTTCCCATTGATCTCTTGTCTTTTGATTACCAGTAAAAACCCAAAATACTAATCTACCTGTACTTGTACCAGCAACAATGGCTCTCTTTTGAGGATTGAATGAAAATGAAATGACAACTTCATGTTCTAGAGGAGAGTTCAACATGAGTGTTGTATTTTCATCTGTTTCTAAATTCCAAACTCTTACCATACTCTCATTACTTGTAATGGTTGCAATAACACCTGATCCAACCCATAATGTTTTAATTGTTGCACCTGTACTATTAGAAATACTAATTTTAGTTCTCATTACTTGTTTCATTCCAATTTCATTAGGCTTACTAATCGAAGCATTGATTTTATAAACAACTAATAAAGCTGTATCTGTCAATAAAACTAATTGAGATTTTTCTCTATGGAATAATACACTCATAATTTGAGATCCATTAAATTGAATACCAGTATCATTAAGTGATTCATATCTAACAGTACCATTTTGTGATTTTTGTAAATTTTCTGCCAAATCATCGGCAACACCTACAACAATTTTAGAACCTTGTCCTGTAGAAACACCAACAAAGAAAATCCAAGACAATTCTGTTGATGGATCTCTATTAGTTTTAAATACAATTTGTTCTGGTGTTTCCACAACATTTCCAGGATTTTCATAGTTCAAAATGTGTTTGAGTTTTCCTCCTTCAAATTTCCAAATACCAATATTACCATCCTATTATTATTAAGAATAATTGTTCATATTTTTGTATTAAAGAAACGATTAGAATTATTATTATTGAGGAAGAAGAAACAACTTACTTGATGAGCAGTTATTAATCTCTCACCATCAGGAGACCATTTAATAGCACAAATTTTACCATGTTCTTCCAATTCAATTTCCTTTTGATTATGAGGGTCTTTATCATTGTATAAAAGAATGGCACCATCTTTCCAACCTGTACAAAGAATAAATTTTGTAGGATGCCACCCGATAGCTGTACAATTAGATGATCTAGATAAATTAACTCTTTCGTTTTTTTCTCCGTGATCGTCATACACTGAAACTACACCATTAGCCTTAGAAATAGCCAATAGTGGATATTTACGATGCCACTGACTACAAACAGGAGAATGGAACTTGTTATTGGTTGTTCCTTGTAATGTAAAATTTTCATATATTACACTATTTCCAAATGTTCCAGTGACTAATCCAATATTGTATAAAGATGAAGAACTGGCAGAAGGTGGAAGTGTAGAAGACATTTTTTTTGTAGTGGTTGAATTTAAATTTGGCGCCAAAAAGTACAATATCATTTTCCCTCCAACCAACACAAACCAACATTGGCTTCTCGCACATTTTGTGGTAAAGGCTTTATATTTCTTACTACCATTACCATTACTACTAGGTATATGTTATTCTTGTATTCTTGTATTATTTTTAAATACTATAAATATATACATTGAAATTTTATAAAATTTAATCTTGTTTATTCTTTTTAAAAATCTTACTAATAAAAGAAATTAAACGTTCTAATAAAGATTTTGATTGATCGGATTCATAACGTGAATTAAATCTTCTAATTAATAAATTAAACATTGATCCAAAGAATAAAACAATAATTGTACATGTTAATGTAATAACATTATATGGCATACTAAAATCAGGTGTAGGTAAACTAATTAATAAACTATCACTATATAATATTTGTTCATTATTATCATTGTAATCATTGTAATCATTGTAATCTATTATTTCATTATTAGAATTAATATTAGAATTAATTCTAGTGGTAATAATTGCACTACTTAAATCAAAACCTCTATTGGCATCAGGTGCATGTTCTGTATATTTTAAATATGTCTTTTCAAATTCAATACTAATTTTAATATTATTATTATTATTTATTAGTAATAGTATTATTTAAATTATTATTTTTAATAAATTTTAAATAATTAAAACATAAATTTAAAATTAAAGGATTTGTTCTATCTTTTTGAGGTAAAATTTTAATAAAATTTAAATAATTTAAATTTTGAATTGAAATATCATTTACTTTTAAGGTATGAATAAATGATTTAAAATACCATGGTATTACATCATAATAACAAATTTCATTTATATTATTATTTAATATTTCTAAATCTGTAATTAATTTATTATTTAATTGATATCTTTTAATTAAAATAGTTGATTTTTTAATTTTTTTATTTTCAATATAATTATTATAAATAGTAAAATTAGATTTTAATTCATTTAAATTATTTAATTGATTAATATAATCATTTATAATTATTTTACCATATGGAATAATTAATTTAAATTTCTTATTTAAAATAAATTTAAAATCTTCTTGATTAATTTTAGAAATTTTATAAAAATTTAAAATAATATTATTATTACTATTAATAGTAATATCCATACTAAAATATAAACTATTAAATAAAAATTTAGGATTTAATAAATAACTTAATCCCATATTACCTCTAAAAGGTAAAATTGATTTAAAAGGAGTTAAATTTTCAGTACAAATTGTTTCTTCACTTAAAGTACCATATATAGTATTATTATTTAAATAATTTACAATACCACTATTATAAACTCTACGTTGTTCATATTGAGTTAAAAAATTAATACTTGCACAAAATATTCCACTTAATTCATTTACTAAATTATCCCATATTTGGAAATTTTGAATATTTTTAAAATTAACTTGTAAAGTTAAACCATTTGGTGAAATTTTATCATAAATTCCCCAATCTTTATAATTATATCTTCCTCTTGTAAATGTTAATTTTAATTCATTTAAATTATATTTATTTGTTAAATATTGAATATTATTCATACTTGTCATGTTATTCATTGTAAATTTATAATGAAAAATTGTATTTTTAGAATCTAATGTTTTTAATATATTAAATTCTTCTAAATATTGTTGTTGTTGTTGTGAATCATTTGATGAAGATGTAGATGTTACAGATGATGATGATGATTCACAATTTACATACTGATGATGGTGATTACTAATGATCATTGCGATAATAAATAGTATAATTGAT